AGTATATGCTGATGCACTTTGGATCTTTCCTTACATAGGATTCTTACTTCAAAATCAACAAAGTGGCATTGCTTTATTTGAAAGTATTTAATAAATGAATTCTTGACGTTGCATTTTCCCCCATGTTGGGAGAAAATTAGTAATATTTATACAGTGCCTATTTTAAAAATTCAAGGCTTATATGTGCATAAAAGGAGAAGTGTGGAGTCACCCAGAGACCCTCAGCCAAGCATTTCTTTTTAATTGTTATATCTATGTGCATGGATCTCAGTGGTGTGTTCACGTACATATGTGCGTGCAGTCTGGTAACTAGGATGTCATTGAGTTTTCACCAGACTTCTTTAAGCTCTCCCCACCATTCTTGATAGGAGCCATTGCTAGAACTGTCTTTGGGTACTCTGACTGATGTTCTTTATTCAAAACATGGTGTGCTGATTTTAAATCAGATTTTCTCAGCGGGTATTATTATTATTGTTATTATTATTAAATGAAATAAAGGATAGTCTGTGATCAGTTTAGGAAATACCTTTTCCCACTACTGACTCTCCATCCTCATATTACTGTAGTGACTTTCAGAATGGTATGATTTATATTGTCAGAAATAAAGATACAATTCCATGTATGATTGCCTAATGTGTTTTATGTGTGCAAACATAAATTTTAATCATGTAATATGTAAAGCTATAGAAATTTTTAAGAAAAAATTTAAAACATCAATTTACCCACATAATTAAGTTATTAATATACTTAAAACTTTCTTGCTTTTAGAATATTAAGTTTAAATTGATGAAGTGGGCAGTAACAATGTTGAGATCACTTTATGTGGCAAGTTGCAAAAATCGTGTCTCTGTTGACAAAAACCGTGAGAGAAGTGACATTATCCCTTCAATTTTGCAGTGGAGGCAGTCAAGGCAGAGCGATGAAGGCCTTGTCTGCAAGTTCAGCCTCCACGTGAGCTGTGCATCGACCTTAAGTTGTCCCACTCGCCTTTCTTGATGCCCATATTTTTTCTGTCAGTGTATTCTATTTGCTCCTTTCTTTTTTTTATTCTTTTTTATTTATTTATTTATTTGTTTGTTTGTTTATTAAAGATTTCTGTCTCTTCCCCACCGCCGCCTCCCCTTTCCCTCCCCCTCCCCGAATCAAGTCCCCCTCCCTTGTCAGCCCAAAAAGCAATCAGGGTTCTCTGCCCTGTGGGAAGTCCAAGGACCACCCACCTCCATCCAGGTCTAGTAAGGTGAGCATCCACGAAACTGCCTAGGCTCCCACGAAACCAATAGGTCCAGTAGAATCAAAAACCCGTTGCCATTGTTCTTGAGGTCTCAGTAGTCCTCCTTGTCCGCTATGTTCAGCGAGACCAGTTTTGACCCAGGCTTTTTCAGACCCAGGCCAGCTGGCCTTGGTGAGTTCCTGATAGAACATCCCCATTGTCTCAGTGTATGGGTGCACCCCTCGCGGTCCTGAGTTCCTTGCTTGTGCTCTCTCTCCTTCTGCTCCTGATTTGGACCTTGAGATTTCAGTCCGGTGCTCCAATGTGGGTCTCTGTCTCTGTCTCCTTTCATCGCCTGATGAAGTTTAATATTCAGGAGGATGCCTATATGATTTTCTTTGGGTTCTCCTTCTTATTTAGCTTCTCTAAGAACCCGAATTATAGGTTCAATGTCCTTTATTTATGGCTAGAAACCAAATATGAGTGAGAACATCCCATGTTCCTCTTTTTGGGTCTGGCTTACCTCACTCAGGATGGTGTTTTCTATTTCCATCCATTTGCCTGCAAACTTCAAGAAGTCCTTGTTTTTTACTGCTGAGTAGTACTCTAATATGTATATATTCCATACTTTCTTCATCCATTCTTCAATTGAAGGGCATCTAGGTTGTTTCCAGGTTCTGGCTATTACAAACAATGCTGCTATAAACATAGTAGAGCATATACTTTTGTTGTGTGATAAGGCCTCTCTTGGGTATATTCCCAAGAGTGGTATTGCTGGGTCCATGGGTAGGTTGATCCCAAATTTCCTGAGAAACCTCCACACTGCTTTCCAGAGTGGTTGCACAAGTTTGCATTCCCACCAGCAATGGATGAGTGTACCCCTTTCTCCACAACCTCTCCAGCAAAGGCTATCATTGGTGTTTTTGATTTTCGCCATTCTGACAGGTGTAAGATGGTATCTTAAAGTTGTCTTGATTTGCATTTCCCTGATCGCTAAGGAAGTTGAGCATGACCTTAGGTGTCTTTTGGCCATTTGAACTTCTTCTGTTGAGAGATCTCTGTTCAACTCAGTGCCCCATTTTATAATTGGGTTGATTAGCCTTTTACGGTCTAGTTTCTTGAGTTCTTTATATATTTTGGAGATCAGACCTTTGTCAGTTGTGGGGTTGGTGAAGATCTTCTCCCAGTCAGTGGGTTGCCTTTCTGTCTTAGCAACAGTGTCCTTTGCTTTACAGAAGCTTCTCAGTCTCAGGAGGTCCCATTTATTCAATGAGGCCCTTACTGTCTGTGCTGCTGGGGTTATACGTAGGAAGTGGTCTCCTGTGCCCACGTGTTGTAGAGTACTTCCCACTTTCTCTTCAATCAGGTTCAGTGTGTTTGGACTGATATTGAGGTCTTTCACCCACTTGGACTTGAGTTTTGTGCATGGTGATAGATATGGGTCTATTTTCATTCTTCTACAGATTGACATCCAGTTTTGCCAGCACAATTTGTTGAAGATGCTCTCTTTTTTCCATTGTATACTTTTAGCTCCTTTATCGAAAATCAGGTGTTCATATGTTTGTGGGTTAAAGTCAGGGTCTTCTATTCGATTCCATTGGTCGACTTCTCTGTTTTTATGCCAATACCAAGCTGTTTTCAATACTGTAGCTCTGTAATAGAGTTTGAAGTCAGGGATGGTAATGCCTCCAGACGTTCCTTTATTGTATAAGATTGTTTTGGCTATCCTGGGTTTTTTGTTTTTCCATATAAAGTTGATTATTGTCTTCTCCAGATCTGTGAAGAATTTTGATGGGATTTTGATGGGGATTGCATTGAATCTATAGATTGCTTTTGGTAGAATTGCCATTTTTACTATGTTGATCCTCCCAATCCAAGAGCAAGGGAGGTCCTTCCATTTTCTGGTGTCCTCCTCTATTTCTTTCTTCAAAGACTTGAAGTTCTTGTCAAATAGATCTTTCACTTCCTTGGTCAGGGTTACCCCAAGATATTTTATGCTCTTTGTGGCTATCGTGAAAGGTGATGCTTCTGTGATTTCCCTCTCTGTTTCCTTATCCTTAGTGTATAGGAAGGCAACTGATTTTTTGGAGTTGATCTTGTATCCAGCCACGCTACTAAAGGTGTTTATCAGCTGTAGGAGTTCTTTGGTAGAATTTTTGGGGTCGCTTATGTATACTATCATGTCATCTGCAAATAACGAAAGCTTAACTTCTTCCTTTCCAATACGAATCCCCTTGATCCCCTTATGTTGTCTTATTGCTATTGCTAGAACTTCAAGCACTATATTGAAGAGGTATGGAGAGAGTGGACATCCTTGTCTTGTTCCTGATTTTAGTGGGATGGCTTTGAGTTTTTCTCCATTTAATTTAATGTTAGCTGTCGGTTTGCTGTAGATAGCTTTTATTATATTTAGGTATGACCCTTGTATCCCTATTCTCTCCAAGACCTTTATCATAAAGGGGTGTTGAATTTTGTCGAATGCTTTTTCCGCATCTAATGAAATGATCATATGGTTTTTTTCTTTCAGTCTATTTATATGGTGGATTACATTGATAGATTTGCGTATGTTGAACCAGCCCTGCATCTCTGGGATGAAGCCTACTTGATCATAATGGATAATTTTTCTGATGTGTTCTTGAATTCGGTTTGCCAGTATTTTATTGAGAATTTTTGCGTCGATATTCATGAGTGAGATAGGCCTGTAATTCTCTTTCTTGGTTGGGTCTTTGTGTGGTTTTGGTATCAGGGTAACTGTAGCTTCATAAAAGGAATTTGGCAATGACTTTTCTGTTTCTATATTGTGAAATACGTTAAGGAGTATAGGTATTAGCTCTTCTTGGAAGTTCTGGTAGAATTCTGCGTTGAACCCATCTGGTCCTGGGCTTTTTTTGGAAGGGAGATTTTTGATAACAGTTTCTAGTTCTTCGTGACTAATAGGTCTATTTAGATCATTCACCTGGTCTTGGTTTAGCTTTGGTATATGGTACTTATCTAAAAAAATGTCCATTTCTTTTGCATTTTCCAGTTTTGTGGCATACAGGCTTTTATAGTAAGATCTAATGATTTTCTGGATTTCCTCTGTGTCTGTGGTTATGTCCCCCCTTTCATTTCTGATTTTATTTATTTGCGTGTTCTCTCTCTGTTGTTTAGTTAGTTTGGATAGGGATTTGTCGATCTTGTTGATTTTCTCCAAGAACCAACTTTTTGTTTCATTGATTCTTTGGACTGTTTTCTGTGTTTCTATTTTGTTGATTTCTGCCCTCAGTTTTATTATTTCCAGTGTTCTACTCCTCCTGGGCATGTCTGCTTCTTTTTTTTCTAGAGCTTTCAGGTGTGCCATTAAGTCCTCAATGTATGCTTTCTCTGTTTTCTTTAAGTGGGCACTTAGTGCTATGAACTTTCCTCTTAGCACTGCTTTCATCGTGTCCCATAGATTTGAGTATGTTCCTTTCTAACTGCTGAACCAGAGTCTTTTCTTACAGTGTTATAGATTACTATTATGGTAAATAAGAAAAAAATCTGGAACTAAACTATGGAAGATAAATATTCAATATATAAATATTTATTTGGCTGTTTACCAAAGTTTATTTGAAATTGAATTACAGTTCTTTGTTTTGTTTTTTGTTCTATGCCACAGAGATTCTGAGAAGAATGTTTGACAGCCATGCTGAGTTTGGGAGCTGTGTTAATGGTAACTAAATATTAAAAATATGGAGCTAGAAATGTATTCATTTTATCTTATAGAGAGCATCACATTGTACCTTCCAGAAATCCTTAACTAGAATATATACAGCTTTGTAACCGGTGCAAAAGAGCAGTATGAGAACCTCTCCAAACTGCTAAGCAACATGACCCAGCTGCACCAGAGTGCGATGCGCTACTATGCTGTTGACACGAAAAAGGTGTCTGTGGAAGAATTTTTTAATGACTTGAATAACTTCAGAACTACATTCATGGTATGGAAAGTTTTTTCTTTTGTTTTCTGAAAAGTGTCCTTGTAATACTTTCTTGCCTCTTCTTTCTGTTATTGTGTTATTTAATCCTGTTCTTATTTTTTGCCATGTACCCTGCCTTTTCTGGTGTTGTATGTTAGCGTCAAATTTTTCAAATTTCAGATCTGTTGAAAAATATGTGGTTTGTTCTCTTTGGGGCCCTTTTTTTTTTTTTAACATGAAACTGTAATCAGAAATTTTGATTGAAAAAGTGACAAATCCTCATGGTTTTTGCAAAGGCCCCCTCCTGGCTGATTACAGAGCACGTCTATAATAAGTTTTTGGCTATGAATTTGCTTCTTTATGCTTAAGACGAATTTGTATTTTTGTGGTATAATTTTACCAAATTCATGCAGCTCCTGTGAAGCTTTTCTCCCTCCTTTTTTAATGCATTGCACAATAAGCTCCCTGTGATTTCCCTTTGAGTGGGTTTTACATTCCTGCCGTTCGCTTCAGACACTTTAATAGGGAGGTCAGGTCTTTGAGGTAGAATCCTTTCATTTAGGTATTAAAAAGATCTTTTGAAAAGTATTAGCTGATTAGATGGGGGAAAAAAACCGCACGCATATTAAAGTGAGAAGGTATTGTTGCCTCCCTGGGGAGACATGGGATACAGTACAGCAAGGAAAAACTGTTATTCTTAATAAATGGGGAAGTAGTTTCTATATTTCACGAAATGTTTGTGCGGATTAAAAAGTTTTGAAGTATAAAGAAAGAGAAGATTGGGTTTAAAGAGTGGCTTTTTCATCTCAGGAAAACTTTATTGCTAACTTTGTTGGGCAGTTACAATCACTTATAAATGACTTGATGTGCTTTTAATGAACCCTCCATTTAAAAGGCAAACAACGTGCACAGTTACTATCATTCACTGTTCGTTCTTTCTCCAAAAATTCAATTTAAATTGTTTTTATTATTGATTATGTACTTTGTATTATGATGTGTGTGGGTATGTGTGTGTGTGCATGTGTGTGGGGGGGGGAGAAAAGACTTTGTGTGATACATTATTTACAATTATCTAATGATTCATGTGGCACTATGCTTAATAGAAGTAAACTTAAAATCTTTGCTGTTTGAGAAAGGTAGACTTGGTTTCCAACTGACATCAGTATTTCTTTGTTTACCTACATTCATCTATTCTGGACATAAATGATCAAGGTTTATTTTGTATTATGTGAAGAGGGATCATCCCAGGTCCTTCGTCCAGACCTACTGCTGAGCTGGCCGGTTTCCATGGAGTGCTTTCTCTGATTCAGGCCCCTCTATCTGCCAGGCTCAGTACCTGAACCACATTCTGTTCTTAGTTAGCTGCATCATTGCACTCACCCCTCCACCCATCTTCCCCGGGCTTTCCTTCCTCCCCAAGATTCCGGTCTGTCTTGTTCACCCTCGTGTGTCTAACTGGTAAATTGTTGGAATCAGGTGTTCAGTGGATGCCATCTTTAACAACTAAAGCTTTCATTGTCAGTCATTTGCCAGGTTCCATCCTCACTTATTTAGACTTTACCACAACCAGATGTAGTAAATACCACAGTGCCCATTTTAAAGAGAAGACAACGTCATCAAGAAATCTGATGGGCACTTCATTATATAGCTAGCAAGGAGCTGGCATGCTGACCTAGGTTGCCTAGCTTCTGATTCTGTACTATATATATCTGAATTGCATGTACTACTTAATGTATGGCATCTAGAACACTATCAAGTAGGACTAAATTGAAATCTGCCTCGGCTCCCAAAGTAAAAATCATGACCAGTATTACTTATAGTAATTTAATTTATAATAAATTTATCTGAAATGTTTATATTTTAAAAATCATCTTTGCTTTTGAACTGAAGCAATTAAAAGCGATGTAGTTGAATTTCTGAAGTATATCTTTGACCAACTCAGCATGTCGCCTAAGTACTACTGCAGTTGCTACTAAGTCATCTAGATATTACTCTTCAAGTTTATTCTTCTGTACCATAAGAGCTTTGTTACAGTAGCTAAAGAGGCAACATCTGCTCCAGTTACTGCCACAAACCATCTAGAACAAGAGGGGAAACTACAAGATGGTGTAGCCTGTGTGAAGAGCAGCTGTTCACTGACAGTGCTTTAACTTACCCCACTTACATGAGAGCTGAGGCTTTCTTGCTGTTCTTTTCTCCCACAAGGCTCTGTGCTCACTGGACAACAGTCAATTTAGAGGTCCTCATCCAGCTTCTCCAGAAAGCAGGGTTAAGGAAGGGAACTGTGAACTTTTGTCAAACCTGATTTTCGTTACCGTCATCAACAGGAGGAAACCCCAAACACACCCGTCGTTGAGCACTAGCTTTCCTCTAGACCCTGTGTGCCACATGGGTTTATGGGCACACTAAGTCTCTCTTAGTCTTCAGTATTCTGCAAGGTACAGCATGGCAGTAGAGCAAACAGACGTGGAGAAGCCCAGGCTTTTAGAAAAGGGCTTCGAGATTGATAGGGACTACTTGAACTGGCACTTGCCCACTTGCCATTCCTACACTTAGACATTTTTGAAAATTGTTTTTTATTTATATCTCAGGTGCAGGGGAGGCATGTGCCTTGGTACATGTGTAGGGGTCAGAGGACATCTTGGGAGTTAGTTCTATCCTGAAAATGGACCCATCTTACTTGGTAACAAGCTGGCCTCTATTAGCTGGAGCCTATTCACTTCCTAAATCCCACAGTTTTAGTGGCTTAAAGCACCCTGCTGTTAAGTTTACAAGAAAGTTGAATATAATGACTTTAGGAGTTTTGTTTTTGTTTTTTTCTTCTCTTTCTCTTCCTCCTCTTCCTCTTCCTCCTCCTCCTCCTCTTCCTCTTCTTCTTTTTCTTTCTGGACACCTAGTGAGTACCAGCACACAGCATACTTTATTTCCTTATACTTACCCTTTCCAACTGAAATGTTTTCAGGGTTGTTTTGCTATCAATATAAAATGTTCTCTTTTAAATCTGAGGACAGTTAACATGAAGCCTGGCTGGGGTGGTAGGTTGGTGGTGAGTCTTTGCGTCTCTATGCTACCTTTCTGTTTCATGGGACCCTTGAACCACAATTGTTGACCTCAAACAGTCAGCTGTCTGCTAATTGATGGTCTGCTAAGCATTAAGCTTCCACCAAGTGATTCTCCTGCCCCGGTTACTTGTAGATGATCTCATGCTTCTGAAAGGGTTGTTTGCATTCAGCCATTCGGAGTGTTATACATATTTTTGGATTCTGCTGGTGACCTCATATCCTTCTTTATCTTAGCCAACAGCAAAAGCATATTCATGCTAGCCTTTGAATTTAAACCTAATGTTCTTCTCTGCCTTTGTCAGTGTAGCCTTGAAGTGTAACATGTGCTCCAGCCCCACTTAGTATCCTAGGAGAGGTCTGTGCCCTGGTTCTCCTCACCTGGTCTGAATTACAGGCTTTTATCTTGAATGCTGTCCTTGGTCTAACAGTACTTCCTTTGCAGTGAACACTTTTGCTCTTAGCGTTCCTTACCTGAAATTATTAGCACACTTCAGTTCTTTCTACAGACTCAGAAGTCTTCTAAAGCCTTATGTATTTTGTTGAATATCTCACTCAAAACGATTTCTACTGCTTTCTTCTGTTCTTTTGTTGTGTGTCTCCTTTTAGATAAAACGTTTCAACAAAATTATAGATGCTCAAAAGTATGTTGTTTAGTGTTTCGAACATACTTAAGGACTCAGAATCCTCTGACTCTTCAGTGTCAGATAATTGATATGGAATGAATTTTGACCTGTGCAGCTTTTGAGCACAAGTGGTTCCTGAGCTTATGAATGTCATTCTCTGAGATGCCCCTGCACTGAGCCTTCATTTCTTAATAAAGTGTGAGATCCTGAGCAGATGAAATTCCACTTTGGAGTTAGGATTTAGAATTCATCAAGAATCAGCCCTTGCCTTAACGATACTGAATATTTCAAGTTAGGAAGGTGTTTTATTTTTTTTTTCTTAATTTTTGGCATACCTATACTTTATGCCTATACTCTATACCTATGCCAAACTCTGTAGTATGTTTTAAATCCATAATATCCATTTGGATTTTTGCCTTAGTTGCCCAATACATTCAAGGACTAAGTCCACAACATTGGGAAGAAAAGAACAAACAGAAACACCATTATCTTCCTTCCTAACCTTTATCTCCAGATATGTACAAACTCCTGTCTGAATTGTATGTGGTGACAATCAAGGAGATGAAATGTTTCTTCAGTGTAAGTGCTTGATGAATTCTTTACCTGATACACTTTACCCACGTTATTTGTCTTGAGTTTTGAATTCTCACTGATGGTTTCACAGATAGGAAGATAGCTGCAGTGCTGAGCCGACTCCAGCATCTGGCTCCATTTATTGAGTGATAGTACCTAACAAGCTTACTGAGCTTTTGTTACCTAACAGTAACTGCATGTAGTGGAGTTAATGAGTAAATGCATGTAAAGCCTTACAGCAAGCTAGCTGTGTGCAAATAACAGAGTACTACAGTGATCTTCTTTCTTGTTCTTCATGGCAATATCAGGATTTTAAGTGTCTTCCCCCCTTTTTGTGTTGTCATACAGAATACTGTGAGCAGAATAGACATCCAGATTGTGTTTAGCTGTCATTAGATTATTTCTATGGGTTATTACTTAACTTTTTAACTTCTTCCAATTAAGATTTGACATTCATCTTTGTTGCAAGCATTAACTAAGTTGGTTTTTTGGTCTATATAGTTGGTCTATGTATAGTGAACAAATACAAAAGCAAGAATAACACCTATAATCTTACTCTTTCTGTTGGTCAAGTGAAATTTGGTTTTCTCCTTAAACCTCAGTCTAAGGGAGTAACTTTTATCGCATCTACTAGTACTCTATCATCCAGTGAGAAGATATATTGCTGTAAAAATAATTTTGGCAAGGAGAACAGCTAGAGCACAACCTGTTCTGGCAAATCATTTAAATCACACAAATTTGATGCTTGTCAGCTCTGAATGCT